AAAAGATTTTTAAAAAAACCCTTGCTTAGTTTTAGACAATGTCTAGAACTTGTTCTGACCTAGGGTTCCCAAGAGCATTAAGCAAACTCCTTGTACCGACGAAAACCCCTTTTATTTATTTAATGTTAATTCTGCTCATTCACATCCAGCAAAGTCTTTTGAGGGAGGATTTACAATCACAGACCTTCTCTGGCTTGGAGAGCTGCCAAGCCGAGATCTGCAAAACTTGGCAAGGAGTCTCAGAGAGTCACAAACCAATTAGGCGAACTAATTGTCTCCAGCAAACTCCACTCCCCTTTCGCTCCTCTTTTATTTCCTCTGGGAGGGGCCATTCACTGTCCACCTGTGGCCTTACTCCCAAGTCGACCCCTGTTCTTTAGCTGTTCCCTTCGCCTGGCAACTCTGCACATGCGCACACTGGGAACAGGCTCCAGCTGTTCTTCTGCCTCACTGAAGGCAGCTGATAACTGTCAGACGGCCATGGACCCCTCTCTGCCTCTGACACAGAGCCCCCATCAGAGCCTTCCCCAGACTCCAGGACTGGCCCAGGTTCCTCCCCAACCTCCTCACTCTCCGGCTCTGCTGCCAGCTCTGCTGGCCGTTGGCAGGCTACAACACACTGAGAAGTTGAAGTCTGTTAGATACACCTGACGCAGGCATGATAACGAGCTACATTAGCATGCTAACCAGTCTTTCTTATTCTTCTTCCAGGGCCTACTTAGATGTCAAGGAACTCAAAAACCGGCTGAACCTGAACGGCTCAACACATCTCAACATCTTCTTCGCCAATTCCTCGGAAGAAGAGCTGGCTGGCATGGCCACCTTTCCTTGGGACAAAGAAGCCTTGGTGCACTTGGGTAAGGCAGAGCGGTGGTGCAGTGGTTAGATGGTCCAGTTCATTTAAGTGACCTTCTGAACTAATGGTGACGGCACCGAAAAAAGGGCTGTTTTACGACCGATGAAGCCAATGCCTGGCTGGAGAGGGGCTTTGTGCTGATCACAAAGAAAAAAAAAATCTGCCTCTGCCTCCCAGCAATTTGCCATGTGGAGCAAACATCAAGTTTCACTTTCAGTTTAAGCAGCTTCCCGAACATGAGTTGTTTCAGGCTGCAGGGACTGTTATAGCCTATTGCAGCCTCCGCAAGCCCCATTTTCCCCCTTTGCTGCAAGGAAGTAAACCGCTGGGAGGCAGAGGCGAAAGGGTGGAGGATGGCGGGCTACATTTAGTGTATAAGACACACCTAAATTTTCATCCTCTTTTTTGGTGGGGGAGGAAGGTGCATCTTATACTCCAAAAAATATGGTGCATGTCTCAAGAGAAGACACCATAAAGGAACTCAAAACCCGAAGCAGAGGTGGGAAGCCATTGTTGGAAAAGTCGAAGAAGAGATCCACCCAACTTATCTGGGTACAAATGGCATGAAGAATTTTGCAAAGAGCCTTGATGCCAACCTTGGCATGCTGCTTCCCAGGATGGCTCAAAGGTGCTTTTTCAAAAGGCAACCGGGCTTTGCTTTTTCCACTCCGAAGACGTCTCGCTTCTCATCCAAGAAGCTTCTTCAGTTCTGGAGAACTCCGGAACTCATCAGAACGGAAGAAGCTTCTTGAATGAGAAGCAAAATGTGGTCAAGGAAAAACAGAGTCTAGTTGCCTTTTGAAAAATCACAAACACTCAAAGAGCCATTTGGACCCGTTTCCTGCAGAAAAGAAACCACCGGGAGCCGCAAAGGTCCTAACCGGAAGCCTCCCTGTTCAATTCTGGAGCTGACTGGAAGTTCAGCCATAGAGCTTCTTCCTAGCGCAGCGTCCTTTTTCTTCTACCTGTCCTAACCGGAAGCCCTATCAATTGTGGAGACAACTGGAAAACCCTCCCCTTGCCATAGAGTCTTCTCCTGGTGCACTGTGCTTCTCTCTTCCTCCCCCCCCCCACCGGAAGCTCCTCTCAAAATTGTAGCGCTGACTGGTGACGGAGCCGCAGCAGAGGGAGGAAAGAGCCGCATGCGGCTC